AAAGCAGATTCAATCCCACAACACGCTCATTGTTCAGGTTTCACATAGCGTATTCCTTCCTGATCTCCTAAATATGACATCTCGTAATTATGAGATCAGGATCTCATAATTACGAGATACTGATGTCGTAATAATGAGATAAGCTGTCAGATTTTTTTTTCTCGTTAGTGAATGTAATACTCTCCCATATATCTGTGTGTTCAGGTCAGAAGAACCAAACAGTTTTGTTTGTTGCATCCAATGGAAGAAGCACTAGAATAATGCAGTTGTTGAGTCGTATTGAGAAGGAACTCGCTGATCTACTCTTTATTTCTGCAGGAACATATATTGTAGGGCTGCAGTGAAGGACTCATTTGCTTTATTCTGTTATAAACTGTCGGTTTCAGCGAAAAGTTATAAACAAAGTGTGATTAACAGTTATAACAATTATGAAAGCTTTCAATAAAAATGTCCTGAAGCATTTTATTACTGCATTTCAATGTGTGAAAGCAAAGCCATTCTTCATCCAATGAATTTTATGGACTTTACAGTATATTTCAAGATAAAAAGAAAGACAACCTAAAGTAATTATTTAAAATTTGCCGCTTATGCAAAGATTTAAAACAATACAGAACATAATTGTAAAGTGTAATGATATATTTGTTTTTTTGTTTACCTCACTATAAGCTGCGGCCACTAAATATATATATAAACATGCATATATAAGCTGTATGTTGATATCTACTGAACTGTTCCCACCAAACCCTTAGGGGTAGCTCTACATAAAGTCTCTGAAGTAGAGAAGAAGAAAAATGCTAGCTGCCGTTAGCTTGTTGGTTCGCAGCAGTAAGAACTTCTACTGGAAGATCGGCTTTTTATTTTAGCTCTGCAGGAGTCGAGTCTCTTCATTGGTTTGGGAGCTTTAAAGGAAAAGTTTGGTCATATTCTGAATTCAAACTTCTGAAAGTTCTTTAAATATGAAATGATTCCATCCTGTTCAATAAATGTTTTTAATTCAGAGTAATTTTCATGTGAATGTGCTTTACTGGAGGCATCCATGTTTGTCAAAGAACACTACTGCCACCTACTGGTTAGTGACGTCACGGTGCAGTATCGTCTGTTGATCACGTCCCAGTC